GTAGAGACATTAGCAGGGAAAATGTGGGCCAGTAGCCAAGGCATTATGATAGATCGCTCTTTTGCCCAGTATTTAATTGCTGTCCCTGTTTAACTTAATAAATTAGGAGGACTACCTCACATTCTGAATAATGGAGAAAGAAAGCTGACAAATGAAGACTGAATACTCCTTGACTTGGACATGTAGAACTGTAGCTGTTGGTTGGAGTGCAAGATGCTTCAACAAAGATCTAGCTGGCTCTGGTTGGGGAAGATGCCTGAGAGCGAATGTCATGCTGTCATGTCAGCATCTTTGCTGTAAAATCTGTATGGCTAACTATTTCTTTCTTTAACTTGGGAGTGGGGAAACTTTTATCTTCTGAGGGCCTCATTCATTTTTGGGCAACCTCCCAAGGGCCACATACCAGTAGCGGGCAGGGCCAAAGGCAAAAGTGGGTGGAGCAATGAATGGAAATTTTATGCAAAATCCACTGCTGAATATCATTTTAACCTACCAGTTCAAAAACACGTCAAAGTGCAAGTAGATAAATAGGTACCTCTCCGGCGGGAAGGTAAACGGCGTTTCCGTGCGCTGCTCTGGTTTGCCAGAAGTGGCTTAGTCATGCTGTCCGAAGCTGTCTGCGGACAAACGCCGGCTCCCTCGGCCTATAGAGCGAGATGAGCACCGCAACCCCAGAGTTGGTCACGACTGGACATAATGGTCAGGGGTCCCTTTACCTTTATATCATTTTAACAAGGCCACACATACTCAGTGGAATAGTTGAGGCAGGGAACAACCACCATTATGGGCAACAAGGCCATTTACCCTCCAGCCAGTACATGTGAAAATGATCTAGGGGTCTTAGCAGACCACAAGCTTCACATGAGTCAACAGTCTGAAGCAGCAGCAGAAAAAGCTAATGCTATTCTAGGCTACATCAACGGACCGCTCTGTCCTGCCTTGATCAGAGCACACGTAAGTAGTAATAGTAATAGTAATTTATTATTTGTACCCCGCCCATCTGTCTGGGTTTCCCCAGCCAGTCTGGGCAGCTTCCAACAAAGATTAAAATGTCACACATTAAAAACTTCCCTGAACAGGGCTGTATTCAGATGTCTTCTAAATGTCAGGTAGTTGTTTATATTTTTGACATCTGATGGGAAGGTGTTCCACAGGGCGGGCGCCACTACCGAGAAGGCCCTCTGCCTGGTTCCCTGTAGCTTAGCTACTCACAGTGAGGGAACCGCCAGAAGGCCCTCGGCGCTGGACCTCAGTGTCCGGGCTGAATGATGGAGGTGGAGATGCTCCTCCAGGTGGATTCTTTGTCCAGTTGGGGCACCACAATTTAAGAGGGATATTGACAAGCTGGAACGTGTCCAGAGGAGGATGACCAAAATGATGAAGGGTCTGGAAACCAAGCCATATGAGAAATGGTTGGGGAAGTTAGATATGTGTAGCCTGGTGGACAGGAGACTTAGAGGAGATAGGATATCCATCTTCAAATAACTAAAATGCAGTCACATGTTTTCTCCTGCTCTGGAGGGTAGGACCCAAACCAATTGATTCAATTTACATGAAAGGAGATTCTGACTAAACATTTTGGTGATAAGAGCTGTTTGAATGTCTCATGTGGAACAGACTCCTTCAAGAGGTTGTGGACTCTTCTTCATCAGAGGTTTTTAATCAGAGATTGGATGGCCATTCCTGCATTACAGGGGATTAGATGATCCTTAGGATCCATTCCTGTTGTATGACTACGACTCAGAGGTAGAGGTGAGGCAGCTAACCCCCCCCCCTTCATTGTCCACAAATAATATCTAATTGGTTTTGTTTTCCCTGCATTAGCAATGTGTTTCCTTTGCACTGAAATGAATGTGGTGGAATAACGTAACCACAATTTATGCAATTTATTATGTAAGTTACATAATTTCATCACAGCAGACAGTGAGACAAATAAGAGTTTTAATTGCATAATTAAGTAGCATAATTGCAGTGCAGTGCACAGCAAGATGAACAATGTTGTTTTGGGCAGAAGACAAACTCCAGTGGAAAGGAAGCAGCACTGCATGAGAAGAGTACAGGGCGGAACGGAAAATAATGGCTTCTTCCATTCCTAGATGTAACTGACTTGGGGAAGAGGAAAGCCTTTATACTTCCGATTCAGGCAGCAAAATATATTGGGCAAACCGTAACCTCTCTAGTTCTCCCTTGATGAAGTAAAGAGACGAAGTTACTGGGAATCTCAGTTTGTGTTCAAAATAATAATAATAAGATACCAACAATGGACCACTGGAACGATCCAATGCAGTCTCAGCAATATGTGTAAAATATGGTGTTATCTTTTGTTTTGCTTTTTATCATTACATTGTCGATATGAGCCTGTCTCAGAATTACTGCTCCTTTTTTATAAAGTGGAGACACTCAAAGGTTAGGCAAAAAGGAGGAGGGGGGCCAGAGAAGAGCTGACTTCTTGCAATAAAGTTTTCATTATGGTGGCAAAATGGAACTTCAGCAGAAATCAGCTTAACCGTTTTCTGGCCCATAATGACTGCAGGCTGTTTAGGGTTGTTGGTGGGTTTTTTTGTGTGAGGTGGGTGGGAAGGAGCTGTGCGAGTGATTGCTTTTAAATATATACGAGCTCCAGTTTTGGAACCGGTGGGTTTGGGATATTGCCTCTCTCCCTGCCTCTGCGTGATCTGCTTTGGCAGTCCAATACCTTTTGTGGGCATCTATAGAGAAAACATTAGAGGTTCTTCAGTGATAAGAAAATGAAACAATATGAGAGAGGGCTGTCAGGCCTGCGCCAGATAAATGGAAGACAGATGGTAAGGGTGATTGGCATTGACAACTTGCGAGGAGCCTTGTTTGCAGGTGCTGCTTCATTCATCCATCACACTTTTACCTAATAGTGGGAGATGTCACTGTGATGTACTTAAATCCCCAACTGACTGATAAAAAGGAAAAAAAGGAAAAAAAAAATTAAACCAACAGCTGGGGGAGGCTGTTGTGTTCAAAGGTGGCTGACTTGAAGGCAGCTGGGCAAACTTTTTATTTTAAATGTTGATGGCCATGTTCATTGAAGAGTAACCTGTATGGGATTGTTGTCTTGTTTTTATGTTTGTTTTTAATCTGTTTTTTATGTTTAATTGGTTTTGTTTTTATTTTGCAAGCAAGTACTACATTTTAAGGGACGCGGGTGGTGCTGTGGTCTAAACCACTGAGCCTAGGGCTTGCTGATTGGAAGGTCGGCGGTTTGAATCCCTGCAACGGGGTGAGCTCCCATTGCTCGGTCCCTGCTCCTGCCAACTTAGCAGTTCGAAGGCATGTCAAAGTGCAAATAGGTAAATAGGTACCACTCTGGCGGAAAGGTAAACGGCGTTTCCGTGCACTGCTCTGGTTTGCCAGAAGTGGCTTTGTCATGCTGGCCACAAGACCCGGAAGCTGTACGCTGGTTCCCTCAGCCAATAAAGCAAGATGAGTGCCGCAACCCCAGAGTCGGCCACGACTGGACCTAATGGTCAGGGGTCCCTTTACTTTTTTACTACATTTTAAGGGACGCGGGCAGTGCTGTGGTCTAAACCACTGAGCCTAGGGCTAGCCGATTGGAAGGTCGGCAGTTCAAATCCCCGCGACAGGGTGAGCTCCCGTTGCTCGGTCCCTGCTCGTGCCCACCTAGCAGTTCAAAAGCGCGTCAAAGTGCAAGTAGATAAATAGGTACCGCTCCGGTGGGAAGGTAAACGGCGTTTCTGTGCGCTGCTCTGGCTCGCCAGAAGCAGCTTAGTTATGCTGGCCACATGACCCGGAAGCTGTATGCCGGCTCCCTTGGCCAATAAAGCGAGATGAGCGCCGCAACCTCAGAGTTGTCTGCGACTGGACCTAACGGTCAGGGGTCCCTTTACCATATGATACCACCTTAAACAGTCATGGCTTCTCCTAAAGAATTTTTGGAGCTGTTGTTTGTTAAGGGTGCTGAAAGTTGCTGGGACACCCCCTATTCCCCTCCCAGAGATACCATTCACAGAGTTCCCTGTGAAGAGGGGGTGATTGTTAAACCACTCTGAGAATTTTTGAAATTTGGTCCAGAGCCATGTACAATAAGGGGGAGGGTCCCAGGTGGTTCTGGGCCACAGCTGACCCAACCCTCCTTTAAGGGAAGGGATGGAAACCACCAGATGCTGGGCCAAATTCACATCCTGCTGTGAGACTATCTTGCCAACTACAGGAGCAAAAGAAAAGAAAAGAAAAAGAGAGGAACATTTTTTGGCTCCTAAGCAATTCAAAGCCCGAACAAGAAAAACAAAAAAGCTGATTTAAGCGAGTTAAATTATGCAAACTGAGCAAATCTTCATACTTTGTTTGTATATTTTATTCTATGAGTCATAGGAAATGCAAGGAACAAGGCAAGGCATCTCAATTACTGGAAATCTGATTCAGCCCATGTGGGTTCCAGGTTTGGGGTGGTTTTTATTTGCGGGTTCACCTTATCCTACTTTTGCCCACTTGATTGCTTTGATCTGTGGAACTGCCACTGCTACAGGTGCCACAAAACACCTTTTTCACACTTGGAATACATAGCTTCCTGTTCTTGTGTATTTTAATTACAGATTGCTTTTGCAGCTGTAAATTGCTTGGAAGCCATTTTGGCATATAAGTGATAGATAGATAAATAAATAGATAGATAGATAGATAGATAGATAGATAGATGATAAATAGATTAGATAGATAGATAGATGATAGATAGATGATAGATAGATTAGATAGATAGATAGATGATAGATAGATAGATGATAGATAGATAAAATTTAAAATAATAATAGTAATAATAGTAACAACAACAGTTGCCAGATGATGCTTTATTCAGCCACTGCTTTGACTTTGGAGATTTTAGTTAGGGTTGCTTATACACACACACACACACACACACACACACACACACACACACACGTCGCAGCTTTATAGAATCACAGAGTTGGAAGGGACTATCAAGGTCCTCTAGTCCAACCCCCTGCAATGCAGGAATCTTTTCCCCAGCATGGGTCATGAACCTATGGCCCCGAGATTAAGAGTCTCATGCTCTGCCAACTGACCCAGGAGCAAAAAGGTTTCAGGCGCAACACCCAGCAACTCCAGGATCAGATAGCAGGGGATGGGGCAGAGCATGAGACTGTGGAAAGCTGCCCCTAGTCAGAGTGAACCAGGGATCAGGGCCAACAATCCCTTTTGGGTGAACTTCTGGGGGCCACATGGCAGTGGAGGACAGGGCCAGAGGTAAAAGAGTAATGCATGCAAATCACAGCTTTGTGTAGCAGGCTGCTTTCTGCATACACTTAGCTCTCTATCCTCCATCCAGACAACAACCCTGTGAGGTAGGTTAGGATAAGAGAGCATTGTTTGTCTTGTATTGTGGGTGGGGCATTTTATTGTTTTAATTGTTCCTCTGAATTTCACACTGGCAATACTTCCCCCATATGAATAGTAAGGTATAGGTAAAGGGACCCCTGACCATAGCTGTCAAGCATCCCTTATTTGGAGGGACAGTCCCTTATCCCAGCACCATGTCCCGCTGCTGTCCCTTATTGATGATGTCCCTTAAATTTCCCGGGTTTCAAAGGAAGCAGCTCCTTTCCCTCCCTCCCTGCCGGCCAGGGAGGAGGGAGGCTCCAACTGTGTTGCTTGGCTGCGTTGCTCACCCAATAAGGAGTCTAAGAACGACTGGGGGGGTGGAGCTTGCATGCCTTGTGCTGATCAAATCGGCTACGTTGCCTGGGGACTCGCCTTTGCTCAGCGCTTCCAGCGGAGAGGTGACGGTGGTTTTCCTTTGCCAGGTTGCGGTGCTATGAGAACCACCGCTTGAGGCTTCGTTTGGCTGCTGGCCGGGCTTTCTGCCTTTGGCTCGGAGGGGCTCAGAAGTTGAACATACCTGTGCTGGAAAATCCCTTATTTTGGCTGCTGATCCCTTATTTTCGAGGCTGCTGGTCCCTTATTTTCAAATCTGTAAGTTGACAGCTATGCCCCTGACCATTAGGTCCAGTCGTGACTGACTCTGGGGTTGCGGTGCTCATCTCGCTTTATTGGCCGAGGGAGCTGGCGTACAGCTTCCGGGTCATGTGGCCAGCATGACTAAGCCGCTTCTGGCGAAACCAGAGCAGCGAACGGAAATGCCGTTTACCTTCCCGCCGGAGCAGTAGCTATTTATCTACTTGCACTGGTGTGCTTTCGAACTGCTAGGTTGGCAGGAGCAGGGACCGAGCAACGGGAGCTCACCCAGTCACTGGGATTCGAACCACCAACCTTCTGATTGGCAAGTCCTAGGCCCTGTGGTTTAACCCACAGCGCCATCTGCGTCCCTCTGAATAGTAAGGTAGCAACGCTTAAAATAAATAAAATAAATTTCTTCATTTCTGTCAGCCCCTGAAAAAAAACACCACATTATAATTAGCAGTCGTCTAGCTGCCTACATCTTAAGCGTTGTGTCTCTGCATCACCAGCCCACGCACCTGAAATTGAGACTTGAGGGTGGGGGATGCAAGGCGGGAATCTCAGAGGAATCAAAATATAGTGGGACGATATTCTCTGCGATGTCAAATTAACTTCCAGAGTTGGGGTGTGGGTGGAGAATGATGATCTTTCTCCCAGTGGCAGCTTCGCAGCAGGATATAACACAGATGCTTCCTCTACCAAAGAGCTTCTACTGGAAGCCAGGGATTTGGGGACACTGGCCCCAGGCTGTGGAACATTCTTCCAGCTGAAATTCAACAGGCACCTTTGATTTTTTTTATTTTCGACCATCTCTTTTAGGTAGATAGCCCTATGTAACTGTTTTCTGATCAGCCAGACATATTAATGACATTATATATATACACATAAAATGGATTATGCTGCTTTATATTTTATGGTATATTTTCATTTTTCTTATTTTATTTATTTCATAAGATTTGTAGACCCCTTGATGGTAAAAAAACAACCCCCACCACCTCAAAGTTGTTTGCAACAAGATAAAACAATCAAGAAGAAACTGCAACTATGCTTTAAAATATGCAAAAGTTAAAATGCTAAAGGATATTAAAATCACCTCTTAGCAGGTGCCCAAAGTGTACAGTGAAGGCACCTGTTTGACCTCAATAGGCAGGGAGTTCCAAAGTGTTTAAATGGTTGTTTTAAAATTTCTTTTTCTAGATAATTTTATTGTTTCATTCATTTTGTAGACCACTTTGAGGTTTCAGTACAGATCTTGTGAAATAAAATTTAAAATAAAATTTAAAATTCTCATATGATAAAAGGAGTGTCCTTCCAGCCCTGTTCTTCTCATAATAATATCATTCTGGTTCGTAATTCCCCACCTCATGCCAGAAGCTATGGGAATGTGCTGGCATGTGTGCGTGTGTTTGTGCGCACAAAACTTTCATACCCACTGTTGTGTCTTGGGGTGATTTATTTAGGTCATTTTAAGCAGCGCTGGGAAATGGTGGTTTAATATTTACAAATGGATGCCGCCACGATATGACTAATTCCGCCCTCCCCCCCAAAAAATACTTAATTGCAGTTAAATTAGAGCAATTTGGCTTCAGCAAAGGAATTAAGAAGGAAGCAAAGAGAGGCGGGTGTTAAGGAAATTCCCCAACATAAATCCAGGCCTTTGAATTAAGGACTCTTTCAGTGTGCACTAATGAGCTCCCTGTGCAATTAAGCAATGTGTCTTGAGGTGGCGATATCTGAAGTAGGAGTTCCAATGGGGAAAAGGAGAAGCTGTGCTGAATTAGCCAGGAATGAGTGGAAGCGCCTTCGTTCTGAGTCCTCCCGCCCTGGACGTCAACAGATGCTTCCCGCTTACAACCTGCCACCCAGACAGGTTCATTAACCTGTGACTCCGAAATTCAGGATCCCCCTCCAGCTGATGCCAAAGTTTTATGCTAGTTTTGAGTGAACTGCCCGTATTGTGCCACCCCCAAACTGAGTAATCGACAAAACAAATTGGGGTCACAAGTTAATGCAAGAGTTCCAACCTTGTCCGATTGACTCCAAACCATTGCCAAAGTGTGCTGCTAGTTTTGTGCCGCAAACCCCAATCATTTCCCCATTTATTATTTTAATCCTGTTGGTAGTGAACCATATGAACCAACCCTACGATCATCATCTGAGACTCTTCTTTGTGTGTCCCCTCCCTGAGAGGATTGGAGGGTGGCAACATGAGAACGGGCCTTTTCTGCAGTGGCTCCCTTCTTGTGGAATGCCTTTGTTACATATATTACGTGCAAGTTAAACAATCTATGGCCCTCAACAACCTCGGTCCAGTATACTTGAAGGAGCGTCTCCACCCCCATCGTTCAGCCTGGACACTGAGGTCCAGCACCGAGGGCCTTCTAGTGGCTCCCTCACTGCAAGAAGTGAGGTTACAGGGAACCAGGCAGAGGGCCTTCTTGGTAGTGGCAGCCGTCCTGTGGAACACCCTCCCATCAGATGTCAAGGAGATAAACAACTACGTGACTTTTAGGAAATTTCTGAAGGCAGCTCTGTTTAGGGAAGTTTTTAATGTTGGAAGTTTTATTCTGTTTTTAGTTTTTAGTTGGGAGCCACCCAGAGTGGCTGGGGAAACCCTGCCAGATGGGCGGGGTATAAAATAAAATTATTATTATTATTATTATTATTATTATTAGGCTTTTTAATCTCTCTCTCTCTCTCTCTCTCTGTGTGTGTGTGTGTGTGTGTGTGTGTGTGTGTGTGGTGGTGGTGGTGTGCATTTTTGTGTTTTTATAGTGTAAGCCACCCTGTGATCTTCGAATGAAGGGCTGTATAGAAATTTAATAAATTAAAAAATAATTGGGCAAAATCACACGAGTCAGCACCATCATGTCGTGTGGCACCTACACTTTGGAACTTTGTTTAAGAAACCTGGAAAGGGTTCAATAAGACTAAGGAAATTTCTCATGCAGCTGAGCGCATGTATACGTGTCATGTACTACAGTTGCAATCCAGATTTTTAGCTTGAAATTCATGCTCAGCTTTCAAGTTAATGAAGTTTGATTGCAATTTGGCTGGGAACGTTGGGCAGTCTTTGATTGGATTATGACTGTCCCTGTTTTCTGAGACTGATTCCTGGTGGCTGAATTGGATTGCTGTAGTGGCTGTGTGTGTTATTTGACTGTAACTTTGCTGTAACCCTGCCTGAAAAAGGATGCTTCTCTTTGCTTGATGTCTCTAGTTTCCTTATATCTTTAGCATCTGTTTGGGCTAGGTGTCTCTCACCAGGTAGACATTTGCGGGCCAACTCATGCATGGCTGTCCCTTCCATTAGACCAGGGATGAGGAACCTCTTGTCCACAAGCCAAACTGGGCCCACCAGAGATTTGCATTTGGCCAGTGAGACCATTTCCCACAAACCATGACCACTTGCCCAGTACATGATGTCACACTATGCCAATTCATAATCAGGAGCGTTAAAATATGCTCCCAGTTTTGGATTGGCAGAACTTCCACTCTACCACTGCAGGGCTTTTTGCAAGCCTTGTGTGGTGCTTTGAAGTCCATTCCTTGAGTCTTCAAAGTGCCCAGTCACCTAATGCCATTGTGACATCAGGTAAGCCCTACCCACCTGTCAAATTCTACTTGGGAGGCTCAGATCTGGTCCATGAAACCCAAAAGGCTCCCCACCCTTCTATTAGACACAGTGAGGCAGCCTTCTCATTCCTACACAGAACCATCTATGTTTGCCAGCTGCTCTCAGGTGCCCTGCAGGTTGCTGTCCCATTACCAGTGCTGAAGCAATATTCATCTACTGACCCAGTCACCTTCTACATGTGGAATAGCAGAGGGCGCCATCTTGTCCTTTGCGTCAGGCAGGAAAGTGCCTTGGGCTGGCCCTGAATTCATGAAAAAAGAAATGTCAGCTCTAGTTGTATTCTGTCATCTGCGTGCCCACATGTTCCTCATGGCTTGAAAAGATGCTGCTGATAGTTGTGTTCTGCTTCCACAGTCGAAGGCAGTATGCCTTTGAATATCAGTTGCTCTGAGAGTGCTGCTGCACTCACATCGCACTTCCATGCTTCCCATTTGCATCTGGTTGGCCGCTGTGAGAACAGGATACCAGACTAGATGGGCCACTGGCCTAATCCTGCAGGCTCTTCTTGTGTTCATATGGGAGCGTGTACCTTTTAAAGGGGAAATCCTTTAAAATCTGCCTGGAACTGGGAGTAATGCATGAAGTTGTTTGGGGATTCTGTGATGCCTCCCTCCTGTTGTTGTTGAAGATGATGACGTTGATCATGATGATGTCATTGATTTATGGCTATTAATTCAAGCCACAGCTGAAGAATTTAGTGTATGAGGGATTGTTGCCTCAACATGCCTGGAATGAACCTAGAGCAGGCACCCCCAAATTTGGCCCTCCAGCTGTTTTGGGACTACAACTCCCATCATCCCTAGCTAACAGGACCAGTGGTTAGGGATGATGGGAATTGTAGTCCCAAAACAGCTGGAGGGGTGAGTTTGGGGATGCCTGACCTAGAGCATTCTCCCCCCTGAGAATAACAGGGCTTGATGATGTTCTGTCGTTCCCTGGGGAAAAAAAACATGGCTGCCCCTTGAGTAAACAGTTTTAAAGCAAAAAGAGAAAATGATGGGTGAGGAGGAGGCAGACTACAATGCTCAAACCACACAGGTAGCTGCCTTATAACAAGTCAGACTACCTTGCTCAGTATTGACTGGCAAGGAAGGGGTCTTTTCTGTCCCTACCTGGAGATGCTAGGGATTGAACCTAGGACTTTCTGCATACAAAGCAGATCCTTTGCCACTGAGCTATCACCCTTCCACTAACACTTCAGTATTTGCTTTAAAGGTGTGTTTGGAGGCAATGGAGGTAGTACACCACGCTCTCAATGGAATCTGCCATACTGATGATGACCATGATCTGCCCATATCAGGAGCCCACTTTGAGTAGGATGGATTCCTCCCCCATTCCTACTCTCTTCTGTAGTAGAGTGGTAGTCTGGAAAGTGAAGCCATTCAAGGACCACATCAGTTTCTTTAATTGTGTGAGCTTCTCAAATGAATGGGTCCCTTTTGCAGATTGGCAAACGTGAGCCACAAGGGCTCACGTCTGCATTGGCAGCGTTTGGCTTCCAAAGGGCAATTATTGATCCACCATGCAGACACAGAAGTTATTATTTTCATTCTGAATGGAACTTTTTGTCTCGTGATTTGAGCATTCAAAGATTCCAAAGGGAAATATGCATTCACCTCCTCCCATCTTTTGCTGCATGAAATGTGAGCTCTGGTATTTACTACACTGCAAAAGAAGCAATCCAGTTCTTCTAAGAGTGACTACACGTTGTTGTTGGGTGGAGGTGAAACCCGATGTCTTTTCAAGCTCTCTGACCTTGTTTCCCCTTTCAGTGAGCCAGTCTACATGTTAACATTAGCCAAAGAGATTTTGCTGAGCATGCTCCCCGCAAGTGATCCCCTTGTAATGTTTAGGACTAATTATGATCGGGTTCTCCTTCGGCTCATCAGAAATCTCCACACCCTGCCAGATGTTCCTAGCAGCCACTGCCAAGGAAAATATTTAGTGTGATGATGGCAATCATCATGATAAGCCATTGAAAATGTGTTTCCTCTGGTGCAGGAATCATTCACTATGAGAAGGCTGTTTAAAATACAGTCCGCACATGTGATTTTCAAAATACAATGGGCTGAGTCCATGCTATGTGTAGTATATATTAACATGTCCCATGAGCTCTGGGATTTAGCAACAGAACCTTCTCCCTCTTCTCCCCCAAATCTCCTCTAGAGGGTTGGGAGAATCTATGGAACATATTATTTTATGTACTTATTTATAAAATTTCTATGCCATCCTTCAGCCGAGGATCACAGAGCGGTTTACAATATAAAAACACAAAAATGCACAAAACAGTAACAAACAAAGACAATACTCCCCACAGTCTAAAAGGCCATAAATTGTTTAATTTGCCAAAGGTGTGGGAAAAGAGGAATACTTTTTCCTGGTGCCTAAAAATGAGACTCATAGTATTGCAGAGCTGGAAGGGACCCGAAGGACCATCTGCTCCAACACCCTGAAGTGAAGGAATATGTTTATTGCACTGACAGTTAGTTGAACTTGGGTTTAAACTGAAATCAGCAAGAACACTAGTCATGAGTTGATTTCAGTAGGAGCCAAGTGCAATTGACTTGGGTCTGGATCCAACCCAATGGTTGCAACATCTGCAAAAGTCACCAGAAAGCCCATAATAGCAGCAGAGAGTTTCTGGTACCATCCAATGGCAGCTTGTGACGTGTTTTCAGTTGAGGAGTTTACCTGTGTGGCAGAGCTGGGGATCATGTGGCCCTTCAGGTGGTGCTGGACTCCAACTCCCAGCAGCCCCAGCAGCTAGAAATGGCCTATGGTAAAGGATGCTGGGAGCTGGAGTCCAACAGCATCTGCAGGGCCACAAAACTCCTGCCTTATGGCCAGAAATGTTATGAACTAACTGGTAAAAGGTAAAGGTAAAGGGACCCCTGACCGCTAGGTCCAGTCGTGGCAGACTCTGAGGTTGCGGCGCTCATCTCGCTTTATTGGCCGAGGGAGCCGGCATACAGCTTCTGGGTCATGTGGCCAGCATGACTAAGCCACTTCTGGCGAACCAGAGCAGCGCACAGAAATGCCGTTTACCTTCGCGTCGGAGCGCTACCTATTTATCTACTTGCACTGGCATGCTTTCGAACTGCTAGGTTGGCAGGAGCTGGGACTGAGCAACGGGAGCTCACCCCATCGTGGGGATTCGAACCGCCGACCTTCTGATTGACAAGTCGTAGGCTCTGTGGTTTAACCCACAGAGTTGGTTCAATTAATCATGGAGAGAGTGAATAGGGAAACATTGTTCTCGCTCACACACAACACTAGCACTTGTGGATGTCCAATGATGCTGAATGTTGGAAGGCAGAGAAAAGAAAGGACTTCTTCTTGCATGGCATAGTTAAACTATGGAACTCACTGTCTGAAGAGGCAGTGATGGCCACCACTAGGATGACTTTAAAAGAGGATTAGAGGAATTCATGACTACTAGTCAAGATGGTGGTCTTCTGCCTCCTGTGGTCAGAGACAGCAATGCCTTTGAATACAGATGCGCTGGAAGCCAGAACAAGAGAGAATGCTGTTATGCTCAGGTCATGTTTGCAGGTTTCCCACAGGCATTTGGTTGGCCACTGTGAGAATAGGACATTGGACCAGATGGGACACTGGCAGGGCTGCCCCAATACATTTTGCCATTGAGGTAAACCCCCAAATGGCCCTCTCCTCCACCCCAGGGAAGACGGGGCAATTGAAGGCCTACATGAGGAACAAGGGGGGGGGGAGAAATATCAACTTTGGGATCTGCTGCCCCTGGGGACCTGAGGCAGTCAATCATCTTGCCTCATGGGTGGGCCAGCTCTGGCCATTGGCCTGACCCAGCAGGGCTCCTCTTATGTTCTCAATTGTACAGTCATGCCCACCTCCAGCCTTCAGAAATCTAGCTTCTTTCTTTAAGAAAAAAGAATGATTGTCCCTTTGCCTAAATGTGTGCTTAGTATCTTAAACACAGTCCTTGCAGCCCTTTGAACTTAGTCTGGTATTTATATCTGACATGAGACATTTCAACTTGTAATTAAAGGGCCAAGGTGGTAGTTGTTTTCAAACAGAGACTCCAGTAGGAACATAGGAAGCTGCCTTAAATTATGTCAAGTCATTGGTTCACCAAGCTCAGTATTTTCTACACTGACTTTCTTTTTAAAGTAAGAAAGAAAAAGAAAAATATTTTGTATAGAAACAGTATAAGTGATTAGCTTTCCCTAAATCCTCGTGACAGAAGGAAATCAATAACCCGTCCAATTTCCATCAGAACACTCTCTTATTTATGAGTGACCCAGAGACCCTCATCCATCTTCTCTTCTCTGGTGGAGCCCTATTACTGAAATAAAATCATAAGCCAGCAGGGCTGGGTGGCAGTTTTAAAGTTGCTCCATTCGCTGACTACTCCTTTATATTCCAGACTAGGCTTTGTTTTAGAAGCTGTGAAAATAAGGCACATAGTTAAAAAGGATGGCAGTTCAGAGAATTACAAGTGGGATCTGCAACAAAATGTTGCATTATGGAGTGTTGGTGCTCATTCCATCCCTCTGTCCACCTCAACAGCCAGTATTTCATGCCTGCTGATCATACTCAGTCCTCTGCCTTAGGATTCCACCAACTTTAAAAAAAAAAAAACTTCCATGAACCTTGGGGCTTCTCCAAGCCTGCTAATTCCCACCCGTCCCTCTTTTGTGTAGGAGTGGTGTCCTTTAGCTGCATAAGCAATGTACTCCCAACCTGGACATCAGAAGTAGAAGAAATGATTAGCAGTAAGCACATCGGTTTGGTGGCCATTGGGACTGCCAAGGTAGAAGACAGGAAAGCTTGTTAGAAGATGGGGCCAGAGCCAATGTCAGGCAGAGTCAAGGAATCCTAGTTTTGTCCTGAGGAACTCTGGGAACTGTAGCTCTGGGAAGGAAATAGGGATCTCCGAACAACTCTCATCACACAAACCACAGCTCCCAGAATTCTTTGGGGGAAGCCATGGCTTTTTAAAGTGGCGTCGTATTGCTTTAAATCTGTGGTGTGACAGTGGCCACAGTTTGAGACCACAGGAAAATAAAAAGGACACCTTTGACAGTACTGCAAGTTTGCTCTCAAAGAAGACCCGAGAGGCCAATTAAGTGGCAAAATGGTTGTACCGATTAGGTATAACAAAATGAGAAGATCTGGAAAAGCAATTAACTGAATCGGAAGAGTCCAGGCAAGTGTTTTTATGGACATAACAAGGGTCTTCTCCCTCCCATCTGCTGGGCATATTTCCAGCCACAATCTGTGGTCATCCAGTCAAGGATGGGGGGTGGGACTTATGTGTGCCTTCGGTATGTGAACTCAACACGTACTTCCTGGCCCCATTGTTCATCATTTACCAAGGTGTGCATACAAGGCTTAAAGGGCACCCCCAGTGACACCCCCCAGTCAAACACAGTGGAAGGCGGCTAAAGAGATCCCTTAACCCCCCCAATGTTTATCAAACCCCAGGGGCTTATCAAACCCATTCTTTCCCCCCCTTTTTTTCAAACCATCACCTGCCCAGACTGAATGCCAAACAAACCAACTGCTCCCCACTCCATTCCGAAAAGCCAACTGGAATCACTCCAAAGAAGAGTACCAATCAGGGACCCCTCCCCCCCCAAAAAAACAATCCTACTTAGACACTTAGACCCAGAAACAGTAACAAGCAAAGCCCCTGTGAACCTCTCTGAGATCTTTGGATGAAGGGCTGTACAGTGGTACCTCGGGTTACATAGGCTTCAGGTTACATATGCTTCAGGCTACAGACTCCGCTAACCCAGAAATAGTACTTCAGGTTAAGAACTTTGCTTCAGGATGAGAACAGAAATCATGCAGTGGCGGCGCGGCGGCAGCAGGAAGCCCCATTAGCTAAAGTGGTGCTTCAGGTTAAGAAGAGTTTCAGGTTAAGTACGGACCTCCGGAACGAACTAAGTACTTAACCTGAGGTACCACTGTATATAAATTTAGTAAATAATAATAAGGGGACATTCGGTAGGTGCTGAAGCAGAGGGAAGTATTTGGGGTGGAACTGACTTAAAATGCCTGACTCTTTCCTTTTTGGCTTTTAAGCCACACCTTTCTCACACCTCCCAGTGAGGAACCATTGGAACCTTCTCTGGAATAGGGCTATGTGAAAGAGAAATCCACTCCTTGCCCCCCCAAGTGGGAGTGACCTTGTGATGAATCAAAGATTATGGCTCAAATTGCAGTCCTAACCCCATTGAATTCAACAGGACTGAGAAGGTATGGTTAGGACTGTAATGTCTGGGATTTGTGGTCTGTTCTGCTAATCTTGTCTTAGCCATGCATGCCTGCATGCTTGCAAACCAATCTACCTGGCAAATCAAATCAACAGTGCACCAGCTGAAATGCAAAACAAGCTTTCCAGGCTGTTTCGGGCCTCTCCTTTGGCACAGCTGCTCTCTCCGTTGGAGGCTGGGATAGCACGATTGAGTGGAGCACTTGTGCGAGACACAATGATTGAATCTTTGGAGGGTTGTGTTCTATGTTTGATTGGTGGAAATCAAAACCTGGCTGGTGGCCATTGCAGAACTTGGCAGGCGATGGCGACATCTCAGTGGTTCTTTTGGGGAGAGGTTGGCTTAGAGTCAGAGGAGGGCTGAAAGAACTGAGAAAAGGCTGTGTGTATTCCACTCCTTGTTAGTCTAGCCTGCTCCTACCCTCCACTCGCCCGGCCAATCTCTTACTTGTCAACACTGCTATGTTCTCCTGTTTGGAAGTCTAAAGTTGTTATGTGTCAAGGAGCTGATCTTTCCCCCCAGCCCCTAGTGCGAAAACATGATGCCAAAGAAAGGAGGCAGAGGAGGTGGCCGCTTCCTGTCTCAGTTGTCCCAGCTTCCTCTTCTGCTTGCAAATCAATTGCAGGCTGCAGCTGATGCTAGCAGCAGGGACGATGGGGGACATCTTGGCACCACAAAGGTAGCATTTGGTGGGGATCAGCGGAAAGGCAGAGTGAGGCTCCGGCATGTGCCATCAATATGCACCAGAGCCAGTTCCCAATATTCAGTTCACATTCTAGCATCACACCAGCAAATGGAACGTAGGGTAGAGCTAGGCAAAAGGGTGCATAGGGATTTAGGAAGCTGCCTTATACTGACCATTGGCCTATCTAAGCCCAGCGTTGTCTAAACTGACTGGCAACAGCTCTCCAGGCCTTCAGACAGAAGACATTCCCAGCCATACCTGGAGATTCCAGGGCTTGAACTTGGAACCTTCTGCGGGCAAAGCAAATGCTCCATCACTGAGCTACTTCTCTTCTCCATTCTTGGTAATCAGTGGCAGCCATTGGGTTGTAATGGACAAAGTGGACTGGCAGTAAGTTGGGAACACAGGGCCATAGCCAACATTGATCGTATTCTGGACTAAGGCAGTTCCATTAACTTCAACAGCAAAATGGTTTTTATTGCTCTCAGGTCCTGCTTTCAGACTTCGATAGAGATATGGTCGACCATGGTGAGATAAGAATGCTTTGCTAGATGGGCCATTGACCAGACCCAGCAGGCTCTTCTTATGTTCTTAAAGGGCCTACTCTCAGTAAAATCTTAGCTACAACCTACAGTTGAGAGGAAGAAGGCAAGATACTCCTGAGATATTAGAAGCAGCTTTAGACCCCTCTCCCTTTTCCAGGGGTATCCCAATGTTTCTTCAGTTTAATTCTCCCATATGGCTTCAGTTAGCTCCCATGGGGATCAACCCAATACATTTTTACATATTATTCCCATTACCCTGGTCTCAGTCTTCCCTCCATGACCCCTATTTTGTATCTTGAAATTGTAATAAGTTCCATGTGGCAAATACTAACCCCACTTTCCGTTGTTCTGCAAGAGTCATGCTTTTTCCTACCTGGTGTTTCTCCAGATATTGTTAGACCCCAGCTCCCATGCCCCAGCTGGCATAGCCAATGGGCATGGATGATGGAAGCTGTAGTCCAGCAACAGCTGGAGGGCAGCAGGTTGAGAAAAGCGGCACTATATTATAATTATGATGGGGATGATTATATCTAAAGTAATACCTAAATGCTCATAATTATAGGTGTTATGAAGTGGGATCCGGGTGGGGGAATTTCATCCTCGCTGCAATCAGCTTTAAAATTAATGTTGTTGTTGTTGTTCTTTAAAAAAAATGAAAACAAAACTGTTTGCATCCTCCAGAGTGCAGAATCAGACACCCAGTAGCTATTCCTTCCAGTAAATACCAAAGCCTTAAAACAGCTTGTAATATTCCGCTGATGTCGCACACATTCTCGTACATGGGGAAGAGCGGAGACAGCAGCCTCCTGGGGATGGAGACGGGAGATGAATTGAGAATGAGAGAGAGAGATGGTTGCATGACTGTGGATTAGAGCACATCTTATTTACTATTCTTTTATTTAGATGAATGAGCTGAACTTTTTTGTTGCTAGCTAGGGACAACTAACAGTCGGTACTCGATATCTAGGTTTGAAAATCTCCCCCCCCCCTTTCCTTCCATGGGAAACTAAGATCGATGGTGTGTGTTGGGGTACGTGTGCTAAGTAAGACTAGTTTTTGGAGTTTGATCTATGTTTCAGAAACCTGTTAAATGATGTGGATTCTCAGGAGGGGGAGGCGATATGTGATGGAATATGTCTCCTGCTGAGATTGATTAGCAATGCTGTAAGTGTTCTTGAGCTTGAATTAATCATTTCACGTTTAAAAAAACCCCAAAATCCCCTTACCTTTTCAGAGACCTCTTTTGAACAAGGTGGGGGCTTCATAAATATGTTAATACGCTGAACTGAAACAAATACAGGAAGAGAACTCTTAGGATTCCAGTCGTGATCTGAGCGAGCCAAGGTCACTTGCCAAATGTCTAGCTTTTGAGTAAGAGTTGCCTCCATCATTTTATTTGAAAGGGAGGAGCTAGAATGGGCATTATGCCTTATCCAGGTATGCACCAGGGGAGGTGTTTGTGTTTAAACCAAGGGTGGAGAAGCTCAGACCCAGGGTCCAAATGCAGCCCTCCAGTCCTCTCTGTTTGGCCCCTGAGACTTTCCCCCTGAGACCATACCCCCCACAGACCATATCTTTCTCAATAGTTTTTGCTTGACTGGGATGTGTTCTTGAACTGCGACAGTGCCTCTTTGATGCACATAGAGATCTATAAGCTCAGCTAACTAGCCAGGCTAGAGGCACCTCCTGTTCCTTTCCAGTGCCTTATCTTGTGCTAGGAGCAGCTTTTCTCCCAAGGTTGTTAGCACATTCTTAAGCGTCTACACAGTGGCGGGTGCTGCTGTGGGTTAAACCACAGAGCCTAGGACTTGCCGATCAGAAGGTCAGCAGTTCGAATCCCCACGACGGGGTGGGCTCCCGTTGCTCGGTCCCTGCTCCTGCCCACCTAGCAGTTCAAAAGCGCGTCAAAGTGTGAGTAGATATATGCTGGCCACATGACCCGGAAGCTGTCTGCAGACAAATGCCGGCTCCCTCGGCCAATAAAGCGAGATGAGCGCCGCAACCCCAGAGTCGTCTGCGACTGGACCTAACAGTCAGGGTTCCCTTTACCTTTATCCTCCAGCCAGGGAACCAAGAGGCATTATCACAGTTTAAGGTCACATTCAAGTCAGGCAAAAACACTCAAAGAGGGTGCACAGCAAGGGACAGTAATGGTTTGTCCTGAAAAAGGAGGGTGTGGTCTGGTGAGAGTTTCAATGGACAGACAGAGAGGCCTGGAGGGGCAAGCTTGACTTCTGCGCCTGAGATTTTCTGCCTGCCCTCTGAAAACTGCTGCACCACACTTTTTTTCCTTCCAGAACCCTGTCTAACTTGATTTTTTTAAAAAAAGTAATTGTCCGGCTCCACAGTTTTAAGAAGTATGTCTACATGTTTTTTCCCCCTCTGGGAATTGATTGAGAAAATTCCCATACACTTTTCAGAATAAGTGTGAACTGTGCTTTCAGTTTAGGGCTAGAGGAGAAATTTGTTGACACTTCCCTAAAACAATATGCAAGCCAAAACATCACTGTCCTTCAAGTATCACACTTGTCCAAATGTTGTGATGGAGTTCTTCAGACCCTTTCCCCTGAAAAAAATGAATGCATACAAAATGTGTATATTAGGGAAGAAAGCACACAGAGCTGTCTATCTCAGAACCAAAATTCATTATAGCAGTAAAAACTCCATATATAAAAAATGGCTAAATCTGGGGGTTGGGGGTTGGGAGGGAAGAATGTGTTTTTGTTTTTAAAAATCACAAACTAATTGAGAAATGTGGTAAGCTGCAATTCAGATTAGAAAAATGAAATTCAAATTGATGGATATGCCCATCCCTATTTCACTGTGTGTGTGTGTGTGTGTGTGTGTGTGTATATAACACACACACACAACAGAACCAACCAACCAAAGCCAGACCCCAGGTTTCAGAAATTTGAAAACACCATCACCGGCAGAGAAGCTTCCACAGCACATTGGTGAATGTATTCACTGGGATGGCCGAGATGCAACCTGGGTCACTTGCTTATAATTCTTCTCCCTGCAAGCTTTCAAGCTAATGTATTAATAACCCTACCCGGCCTTTTGTGAAACAGTCAGACTATTCCATAAAGAGGAGAATCTGTTTGAAGACTGTCATTAAAAGCATTGTCCTCACTTGATAAGCCTGGACCGCTTCACTGAGCCAATTCCTTTGTGTGCTTGAAGGAAACCTTTAAGACCATGAAAAGGTGCTAAATTCTTATGCCAGGTCAGTGTGGCTTTGAGTGTGTGTGTGTGTGTGTGTGTGTGTGTGTGTGTGTGTGTGTTTCAAGGGCTATAGTGCTTGTTGTGAACCATTGCTAAATATCTATTATTATAAAAAACCAGAGACTGACCTTCTGCATGTACGGCTATAATAATAATAATAATAATAATAATAATAATAATAATAATAATTTATTATTTATACCCCACCCATCTGGCTGTGTTTCCCCAGCCACTCTGGGCAGCTCCCAATCAAGTATTAAAAACAATACAGCGTTAAATATTAAAAACTTCCCTGAACAGGGCTGCCTTCAGATGTCTTTTAAAAATAGGATACCTACTTATTTCCTTCACATCTGAAGGGAGGGTGTTCCACAGGGTGGGTGCCACTACCGAGAAGGCCCTCTGTCTGGTTCCCTGTAACCTTACTTCTCGCAATGAGGGAACCGCCAGAAGGCCCTTGGCGCTGGATCTCAGTGTCCGGGCTGAATGATGGGGGTGGAGATGCTCCTTCAGGTATACAGCACCGAGGCCATTTAGGGCTTTAAAGGTCAGCACCAACACTTTGAATTGTGCTCGGAAACATACTGGGAGCCAATGCAGATCTCTCAGAACCGGTGTTATGTGGTCCCGGCGGCCACTCCCAGTCACCAGTCTAGCTGCCGCATTCTGGATTAATTGCAGTTTCTGGGTCACCAGCGAGCTAACTTGGGTATGTATGGGGCATCTGTAACCCTCCACATGCTGCTTATCTACAACTCCCCTCATCCTTGGCCATTGGCTAAAGATTATTATAATGAATCATAGAATTGTAGGGCTGGAAGGGACCATGGAGGTCCTCTAGTCCAACCCTTTGCAAGGCAGGAATCATTGGCTCAATGACCTGGAAATGAGAAATGGAATGTATAGGGTGTGTTCAAACTTTCTTTGAAGAACCCCCCTCCAAAAACATCTATTGATCATCCAGAACCACTTTAGACACAACAAGGAAGCCAGTTTAGGGCTCAACTGAATAATCGTTCCAAGGTAGACTTAAAGGAGAAATGTGAGGGTGCTAACAACTGCTATTAACTAAATGTTAATAACAAGTAGTTATTGGAACAACCACAAAATCAAAGGAGATCATATGCAGAAGGTCATTAACCTAATTTCCAGCAGCTTCAGGCAGGAGGGCTGGGCAAGATCTCTCTTCTTGTAACTTTGAAGGGCTTCAGCTAGCCGGAGTGGAAAATGATGCTCTTGATCAATCTTTTTCAATCTTCCAACCCTTTGCACTACAACTCCCGTCGCCGGTGATTGTCAGCCATGCTGACTGGGGATGATGAGAGCTAAAGTATAAAACATCTGGGAGGCTACCAGATGGGAAAGGCTGCCTTAAGGGGAACCAATGATCTGATTCAGTCTACGTCAGATTTATACCTTTGCTTCGTCTGTCATTGTGCTGAGATCTGAATAAAATTCATGGGGAAAGGTTTGCGTCTACAAAGCTGGCAAAACTGAACCAAAGTTGTGTGAGAAGAAAAGGCAGCTCTTGCAGGTGGAAAGGAGGGACTTAAAAGAG